GGAAGAGATAAAAAAAACAACAAAAACAAAACAAAAAAGCAACCTCCAACTAGAACCAGGGGTCAATAATAAAACTTTTACAAGTGTTTATGTAGTTTACAAGTGTAGCTATTGTTTTAGAGTTTGAAAACAATACCTACACTTGTTAAGTTTTATTGAATTGACCACAAACGAAATATTTTCGCGCGCGATCGTGCAATAAATTTCCCGGTTAACCCTTAAATTCATAACCCCTTTTTATGCATTAATGTTATTCGGCTTTAAACCGGACTTTTTAAAGAACTTCCTCGAAACGTACAAATCTTTCAGTCAAGTTTTACACCTGCTATGGCAATCGCGTGAGCAAAACACTCACTGAGTGAGTTGCGGGGTTTGGCTTCGTGCAACACAGAAATTTAGTCAAATTTAGTTAAAGTGAACAAGTACTCTGTTGCTTACACGACTTATTTCTAGACTGTGGAGAATATTGCGTAGGTATTTTACTTCTCAATGCATAAGCAGAGGATTGCCGCTGACGATGCTCCTGATTTTGTTTGCCATATTAATATCAATTGAGTCAACAAAGAGAAACATGTGACAATATTAATTGCAGGGATGTAGTTCTCATTGAAATAACGGGGAAATCAAGAAGAAATTTCCAAAATTTTCGGCATTTGCTCGCGATATACATACCTATTGTATTGCAGCTATTTAGAGGTTAAAAAGTTGTGATTATTGAGATTTTGAGAGCGTTGGCACTCGGCGCTGATAAAGAGCCCGGAAGAAATCGTAGTATCTTGTTTTAGTGCAACGTTTGCTTTTTCAGAAATTTCAAGTTAGGTGATTCGGTGTTTTACCGGGCAAAGAAATTATTTCTTGAAAAAGTGCACCAAAATAAGAATTTTCGGCAAGCGAATTGTAGTGATTTTTGGCAGATCACGGTCATCGCCTCGAAAATGATATCTTTTGGACTACAAATGGACTAAAATACCTTGAAAACTTTTCAAAATCAGTTTCCTGAGCTCAAAATAGGTTATTCATATGATGCGATTATACAGAACGAAGTTTACTAGAAGGTGTCAGACATGTTTTTTTTTTCGGTGTTTTGAGACGCGTGGGGCCGAAACAGGTTTCTCCTATTATTTTCGGGTTTAAAAAACCATTTCAGGAAAAAAAATCGCACCACGTTTCTAGGACTACTAAAAGGTATCTCTGAACAAAAAAAAAAATGAAGGATTTTGATCTTTCATCGTGTGCCACCCGTCTCTCGATATTAGTGGACATTCACTCTTTAGGTGATGTTACACCGGACGATTCGCAACGACGATTTTTAGCGCAACACAGCGTTGCAATGTTGTAACAATTCGAAACGACATGGCAACAATCTTGCAACGCTGTGGTGCGCTGAAACGTCGTTGCAAATCGTCTCCTGTAACATCACCTTTAAGCTGGACTCTTCTTCATGGCGAGAGAGCCTGGTGCAAGAAATGAATATCTGTCTTTAGGGCACCATCATTGTTCACGACATAATAATAATCATCATCATCATCATCATCATAATCATCATCATCGTTGTCGACGTCACTGTTATATTTGCAATTTCACTCATCATCTTTGCTTTCAACACTTGTCATATTTCGTTACTATCATCATTATTTTATTACAAGTGTTTTTCTTAAAATCCTGCCTTCATTGATTTGTAGGAAGCGCCTAATTCAAAAACCTCCTCTGTTAGCCAAGTCAAAAAAGTTGCTCTTTCACCGGGTACCAGCATGAGGTTGTTTTTGAAAAGGCAACTTTGGCAGAGAGTGTTGACCATGAAGTTGACGAAGCTTTTACTCGTTGCTGGAATAATAGCAACTTCAATATTTACATCCTTCGTTATGTTACTCTTTGAAAGATCCACTGGGATAGCAGAGACTTCTATCAATCAGGAATGTAAATCTTGGAAAACAGAAACTCTCCAGCACTTATCAACCCTAATAACCAATACTACTTGCTCACGGGATTACTTTCTTCTCATACTGGTGTCATCTGCACCTGGTAATTTTGATCGAAGGAGTTTAATTCGCCAAACTTGGGGTGCTGCAGATAGCCATGATCAATGGCGGACATTCTTTCTTCTTGGTCAAATAAGAAACCAGAAACTTTCAGATTTGCTTGAAACAGAAGCCAAAGATTATGGTGACATAATTCGTGGTGATTATTATGAACATTACTGGAACCAAAGTTTCAAGATAGAGATGGGATTTGAGTGGGCAGCCAGATACTGTAATTTTTCCTTTTTGCTTAAGGCAGATGATGATGTGTATGTTAACACCAAAGATTTGACTCTTCTTTTGCAAAACCCATCAACACCCTTGAAGAGACTTTACATGGGCAAAGTGCAGTTTAGACCCAAGGTGCGGCGTTATGGGAAATTCAACATCAGCAAGGAAGAATACTCTGGTTCAACTTACCCAAGCTACTGCAGTGGAGCTGGGTATGTTCTCTCAAATGACATTGTCCAGTGTCTAATTCCTTTATTTGATGTGAAAAAACCATTCAGAATCGATGATACTTATGTTGGGTTGGTTGTAAGTAAACTTGGCATCAGCCCAGTTCACCACAGTAGGTTTATTTTCCCGTATGATGACTATGATATTTGTTACTTTACACCATTCACACTTGTGCAACACCGAGTTTTAGGACAGTGTTTGCTGAAGCTGTACCAGATGCACTCCAAAGAATTTTACAGTTCCAATTTAGGGTCTTTCTATTGACATTATATTGCAAGTAGTAGCAGCTACAGTCAAATTTCTCACAATGGACACCTCTCTATAACAGACCACGGTTTTCCCTTACGTGCAAATACGCGTCAGAGACGCGTTGTTTAGTGGAAAAAGAAAAAAAGGACGCAAAACACCAAAGACAACCGGTCCTCTAGGACGCACATGTTCTAGAGCGATAGTTTACTAAAAATTACTTTAGAACTTAGATCTGGAAAAATCTTTTTTGAGAATGAAATATAAAGACTTCTTTATCTTATATTTTTGTCTGACTCCTTTTTTATAATTAAAAAGAGCCATACTCACTTTGAATGGTTCTCAAGCTTACTTTTTTTATGTTTCGATCGGGGAACCACATTGATTCTCCTTGCAGAGGTTTGAGAACTAATGTTTTATTGTGAGGCATTCTGGGACAGAAAGTGAGTTGGAAAAACATGGCGGATTCGGAATCACAGCCCAGTGAGCCCGTTAAGAAAAACAGGCGTTTTTATCCTGCTTGGTTGAAAGAATGATGATGATGATGATGATGATACCTTTATTTAAGTGTCAAACTGTAATAGCGGTATATAACCACTAAGTGGGGACACTAAAATAAATTTTAAAAAATAAATCAATTAATAAATTAATTAAAAATTAAGAAAAACTATGTACAGTATAAGCAAGTGAGAAATTCGAGAGAACTATATACAATATGTACAAATGTATCCATTACTTATAAA